TTAAAATATAAATTAAGCGATTAACCCTAAATTATCTACATTATGACGTTTAATATAACAAAAAAAGATAAAGATGAGAAATAAAAGGGAGAGAAGAAGATTGACTGAAATACCTCTTGAACGAGCTTTATTGAATCTTCAAATATGAAGAAGGTGCTTTGTGGCGACCTTTCACACTACAGTATGTCTCACAGATCTCAAGAAATACAATAGAAGGGAGAGAGAAGATAGAGATGCGACACAAATCTCAAGAAATACAATAGAAGGGAGAGAGATAGAGAATTTTCATGCTCAAAGGAGTCTTATTCGAAATTTCTCTGGCCGCCCTAAGAACTGTGCCTGAGACTTCTATTTATAGGAATCAGAAAGGGGGGCAAAATGGCCTGTTCTGAATTCGGAACGGCCCATTCTAGGCCAGTCGTTATGTGCTAATTACGCACCCTGGAATGACCCATTCTAAAAACGGAATGACCCGTTCCAGTGTGGAAATTAACACAAAGTTGCCCTTTCCAGAACAGTCCGTTCCAAATTTAACTTGTTTGGAACGGCCCGTTCTGGTATTAGAACGACCCATTCCAGCCTAAGACTCTTTAGGTGTTTTAGTGATGTTGGAGCAACCCGTTCTGATATTGGAACGTCCCATTCTGGGCTTCGGAACGGTCCGTTCCAATTTTGGAACGGCCCGTTCTGACTTTGGAACGGGCCGTTCCGATCTTGGAACAGCCCGTTCCGGGCTACTAAAAACACCCTATTTGGCCTTTAGGCCTTCTGATGTCTTGTTTTGTTATTTGCCTGCTTCGGAAGCTCTTTTCCTTCATAACGGAGGTCCATTTCTTTGTTTGTGTGCCCCCCGGACGAAATTGGGTGTCTACATGCATATGAACTCTCTTTAAGTATTTTCCTTGTTTCTTAATTTTATTATATTATATTTTTTAGGGAAATGACTATAGAACACAGTTTCAACTTGGGAATGGGGCCTTACTAAAAGCAAGTTATATTCAGGTACAGGATCTGCATGCATTGTGCAGTATTTCTTTATATTTTCTGGCAAATACATTATGCAATATTTCTTTATATTTTCTGGTAAATACATTGTGCAATTTCTCTTTTCTTATTTGGTAAATGCAACGTGCAGTGATTCTATTTCTATTCCTCTTGTTTAAATGCTTATGTAGATCATAAACTGGATGGGATAATAGAACCCCTTGGACTATTCCTCTTGTTTAAATGCTTATGTAGATCATAAACTGGATGGGATAATAGAACTCCTTGGGCTATTCCTCTTGTTTAAATGCTTATTTTAGATTTCTCAAGGATTATTTTTTGTTTGTTAAAATGAGTAAAATGGAAAAAATGAGTAAAGCCCGATGTAGAAATGGCACCCTAATATTACCCTGCGAAGGCACTACCCATTCACTCATGAGCAACATAAACCTAGTCGTCGCGAGCAACGACGGAGACCTCACCACCACGCAATGGGAACCTCTCTTCTTCGCTCCCACGATTGTCTTCAAGGCCCCGACGCAATGCCCCTCTATTCATCTTCCATTATATCACAAAGAAACCCTAACCCTAGCCCCAATCCTTCTCACGCTCGCCGGCGGAAGGTCTACGACGGCGATCGCTCCGGCATGGTGGTGAAGGGCCCCGGCGCGAACCTCGTCATGGGCCAAGTCAAGATCCTCAAGAGAGGCGAGAAGTTAAGCCCCAGCGCGAACCTCACCCTACGTAACCCTAACCTCCTCTTCTCGGTCCATTACGAGAGCCATTTCTTGTGAGTTTGCCAGAAACCATTTCTTGTGAGTGTTCATTGAGTTCAGATAACAATAATATGGATGAAGGTGTTTTATTAGAGAGGTGTGTGAAGGTTAATGTTGTTTTGTTTTGTGTTTGTACAGCTTTGTCTGGTTTTTTGTGTATTGATGGTGTTTTTGAAATTATGTATGGTTTAAGGTTGCTAGTAAGACGAATGACTCTGTGGGTGATGGGATGACCACTCTCTTTTGTTTGTTTCTCAATCCAGGGTTTCTATTATTTCTTGAATGTTTTGATATCAGTTATAGATGTCTCAATAATGTTAAATTACTTGTCGTTTCCATTTTCTGATATGACTATATGAATTTTCTCAGGCAACCAATAAATTAAATGATGTTAAATCAATGAAGGGGACAACATACAGGATGGCTCCTGAGGTTTGCCTCCAATCTTTACTTCTGATGTTAAATCTTTTCTTATTTCTAGAATTCATTGTCTTCTCATATATAGCAAGAAGCATCCCCTTGCTTTTGTGACCTTAAAACTTTCTGAAATTCTTCGGTTTTTGGTGTTTCATATTTTGATTTCTTGATAGCATGTCTATTAATTCTTAATTTGGAATATGTAGGTTGTAAAAGGAAAAAACCAAGCTTATGGGCTTCCAGCTGATATGTGGAGTCTGGGATGCACTGTACTGGAAATGTTAACAGGTCAACTTCCATACTCTAATTTGGAATTTGTATGTGTCATTATTTATATGCAATTCTCTTTAGTCTTTAGCCATTGGCATCACATAGTAAGGGTGATCATGTTACACTTGAGAAAAACAATTTTGACTTTTGATAGTGAAAAAGGCTAGTCACTTGTCATCACTATTTTTTTTTTTTTTGTACATTTCAAAGTAGCTAAAAATAATCAAATTTCATGCTCAAGAGCACAGAGCTTGATCAAGCTCAAGTCTTTTTGGGATTTCAGTGGAGGGTAAGTGTTTAAATTCGTTTCATTTTACTTATAGACTCATTTTTATTGCATGTAATTTACTCTGAACTTCATTACCCTTTTCTAGCTTTGTAATGGAGTTAACAGATTCAGATTCATTTGATCCTGAGTATCGTTTCTTTTTTGTTTCAAATAAATTTTGGAATTTGATCATGCTCTTGTGAATCTGTGATTTTGAATTTTGTTGTATCTTTGCGTTGTTCCAAGAAAAAGTGTTACTAAAATGCCTGGAAAACCTGACACTGATGATTGGCACGTAGAGCGTGGCGTAAGTTTCAGGGAGGATGATGGTGATATTCGTAGGCAGCCATTGGAGGTAATGACCTTTATTTTGTGTTCTTAAGGAAAGTCATGGCCCAAGCTATACTTCCTTCTTATTTGTCTTGGTTTATTACTTTGCATAGTGAAACCAAAATGTATTGATTGCCATAGAAATCTTAATTACAATTTTAATGACCATGGTATTGATGCAAGCATTTTAATGATAAGTTTTTTTGAACACAAAATAATCTAATCAAAACATGTACCTAAATGTTTGTCTTGGCCATTATCAATTAAGTTTTCTGGTAATTTCAAATGGTGATATATTGATTTGCATGACTTAATTTGAAAACAAAATGTCTACGAAGCAATGACAATTGTCTTTTTGTTGCAGCTCTGTGTAATTTCATGTGTTCATACTTCATAGGCTTTTTGAACTAATTTGTGTTAGAAGTTTCACAGCATAATTCTAAACTTTGGTATAATTTGTATGTAGGCATGACTGATAGGTATGACTGGGATAGTTGATTAAAAAATGTCTTATTATTCAAAAGGCTCCTAAGAATTTAATTTCCATTGCAGCTTATTGGTGGTGATTTGGATGGAGTGAAGAAAGAGAGACAAGCACTTCGGTCCAAAATCAAGCAGATTGATGATGTACTCAAAACCATTGACAAGGATATCCAGACTCTACAGGATGAACTGGCAGTTGTTTCTCAGAAGAGGGACAAATCATTTGAGAGCATGCAGCAGCTCAGAAAATAGCGTGAGGAGGGGGTATGTTTCACTTTAAATATGAGAAAACAGCTCAGAAAATAGCTCATTTAATCTTGGTATTTGTAAAACCTGTATCTATAACTCGTTGTTTTAGAAATTTAGTTGAAATTGTAACAAGACTCTTGGAGTTCTATCAAACTGGAAATTATTTAGCACATCTGCTGTCTTGAATCTCGTAAAGGAGAGTTTTGTCCTTGATTTAAATTTCAATAAAACATGCTTTTTTTTATATACTTTTGTTGTTCCTGGTATCTATAGCATTTTTTGTGTGCAATAAAAGTAGTTCCTCACTGTCAGCGAAATGCATAACTTTTATATTATTATGTGTGTTTGCATTTTCATGCTTTGTTTCTAGTGGAGTGTGTAGACAATAGACGACTTTAGTTGTGTGGTTTAACGGTTTTGTGTTATGGTGTTGTCGGTGGATTGTTATGCTTGGATTTGGCTTATAGTGGTGCGTGTTTATGATTAGGGGTTTGTGAATCGTGTTGTGGGGGGTGGAGTTGGGAAGTTTGTTTCATTTTTTTCATTTTCTTTACAAAAACAGCTTTATTCGGAAAAAAAAAATTTGTTTGCTGAGGTTTTAGTGGCCCCACTTATATTTGTTGCACTCTTGGATTTGACTAGTTAGAAGATCCACTTGTGTTTTGATACTTATTTTTGGTTTGTTTCTTTAATGATATACATTTATTGATTTATATTTAATGTCTGTAAGTACTTGAGTTCAACTTTTTTTTTTGGCGTTACAAACAATTGCAAAGCTTATGGTTGTGCAAGATTCTAGTTAATTGCATTTTTTCTATTAGTTTTTGCATGGATGATTAATTGCAATTTGACAAAATCATGGAATTCCACATAATCTCACAATATATATTGGTTTTTTTTCATTTCTATTATAAAAAATACAAGACATAAACATGAATTAAAACAGAGGAAGTATGGGTTAGTGGATAATTTCTTTCATCTAAACCAACTGTGGGGTTTATTTTGCTGTGACTTTTTAACTTGGCTTCATTTGTTGAATCACTGATGTTAGTGCTACGAATAGCAACTGTAGAGAGAGGGAATGAGTGGAATTTACAAATTTATTTTAAATTTTTAGATTTTTGTTTTCCTTCCCTGTTAGAGCTGTTAGACATTGATTTTATAGTTATTTATACCTCTGTTTTATTGACTCTTAGTCAATATTATTAAATATTAATTATTTTTAGTGTTTATACAGGTAACTCAGAAAGAATCTAAAAAAATAATTGAATTTTTTTTTATATGCAATCTACATCGGTTTAAGGTAGAACCGATGTAGATTTACGTTCAAATCTACATCGGTTTTTCTGACAACCGATGTAGATTTGAACGCAAATCTACATCGATTTTCTCACAACCGATGTAGATTTAAACGCAAATCTACATCGCTCTATTCTACATCGGTTTTATAACCGATGTAGATTACCTTCCAGAACCGATGTAGAACAGTGCTTTTGTAGTAGTGTACAAATGAAGTTGAAATTAAAAATGTTATACTCTATTGTTGCTTATTATATGATGATGTTGTTTTATGATGATTGTTTCTGTGAGCTTACCTTGACTATTTTCCTTATGGTTGGAGTTGCGATGACCATACTTTGGTATTCGAGTAGATCAGGAGTAGATGCTTTTCAAAGAAGGGCAGGGAAACTTTTGGCTGAGACTTAGTCGAGGAGTTGATTCTTTTGTTGTACTTTTTGAGATCGACTGCCTAGTGGTTTTGTATAGGATATTATATCATACTTTTAGTGGTATATATGTATATGAGATCTTTAGTTGTTTATTCTTATCATGTATATAATTGTCTAGATGTGATATTTTATTTTATGCATGTATTTGTATGGTATAAACTCTGTTATCGATACACTATCCACTGACGTTATAGACAGTGTGAGATTTATCGGATTGTTACATAAAAGATATTTAGAATGATTTGAAACTTGATCCTTTTAATTAAATATATTCTTAAAAAGGTCTCAACTTGACTTATTTAACAAATAGACCTAGCTTAATAACTTAGGACTAATATGGGGTAAGTTATATGTCTCCTAACATGCGACACACCTATTTTGATTCCATCACTTTCCTACTTTCTTTGCAAAAGTTATGAAATTTTAAGTATGGAGTGAGTGGAAAAGAGATAAAAAAAAATGACACACTAATTTGGTATTAACTTAGATATATATATATATATATATATTTTGATATGTGCATAAAATCTAGAGCACTAACTGATGTTTATACCAATGATAATCTTAAGTAATTTTGGAAACAAATTATGATAAGATAAAAAATACATAATAATCAATCTTAAGAGATAATGAAAAAATGATAGAGAAACTAATCTTAAAAGCCTAGCCTATCTGAGGCAGGAAAAGATTTTCATATATTCTGTAGTCTTTCTTTTTGCAAAGCTGAGTATATTTAGAAGGCTTGGTCACTTTTTGCTTAGTAGCTGCTCGTTTTACATCCTAAAGGCAAGTATTGTAGCCTCTGCATTCCCCTCCCCTTTTAGGGTATTACTCTGACCAACCCCTCTCCCTTCTCTCCCGCATTTTGATCATAAACATTTTGCAATCGTAAATTATAAATAAATAAACTTCTATTTCATTCACCAAAATTTTAATCCTACGTGTGATATCTTGATATTAGTCTTACTGTTTTTCTCCATTTGTTGTCTGATTGAACTAGCATTTTATGCTGTACGAGGTTCAAAGTTTAGAGAACACCTAGTGTAGGGGTGAGGGTTGAGTTGGTGTTGGCTTTAAATGCAACAAATAATAGCTGTAGAATTAAAGTACCTAACACTTTGTACAAAGAAGTGTGTAGGGCTGAGATGGTTAGTTGTTTGAGAACTTGACCATGAAACGGGGTGCATCAATTTAATTACCAATTTCCCCCTTACCAAGAGGAATTGCATTATGAAATATAAAAAATTTAATTATAGTTTTTATCCATTAATGGAGTTGATAATAACCATTATCATGTAATTTTTTTATTTATAAAAATAACAACAACAACAACATGATTCAAATTTAAGATACTATATATATTGCTCTAAGTTTTTATACTATACCAATCTTAACAATTTTATTAATCTTCATAGCATGGTCCGTAATTTTAAATTTTTAACCTTATTTCAAGTGCTAGATTGACATATGACTTCTTTACTTTCATTAGGAGTAATTATAGTTAGCCACAACCTAGGCTAAACTTGTAGGGGAAACCAATCCAAAAATATATGGTCTCCATCCCTCTTATTACCCTCAACAATATTGACTGTAACTAATAATGTTTTAAGTCAACACCAAATGTCGATAGTAGACATCCTACACATCTCCTAATAATGGAAGGTGATTTATAAATTTAACCCATAGACCAGTTTTTGGAGCTCATAATGCCAAAATTCCAAGATTGGCAATTACTCCTTTAATGAAAATAAATCAAATTCGAACCTTCTTAGACTTGTTATTTTCTTTGTAATCTAAATCTTGTTGGACACGATAATTTGCTTTTTTTATAGAATGTCTTTTCAATGCCATTATTGATAAGTATATAACAAAAAAAAATACCATTGCTGATAGTTTCTTTTACTTGATAAGAAATATTTATTTTATAAAATAGCACGACATTAACTTGTTAATGGTGTTATTATAGAAGCAAAAGAAAATATGTTAATATAATTATTGTTCCATATTCAAGATTTAATTCTTCTATAGTACGTGAGCATATATGTAAAGCTTGAAAAGTACAATCACGTAGGATGATAGCTGTGATTAGAGGTTTCCAAGTGAACCAACAATCTGTCTTTAATGTAATTGGTTTCAACATTAACTTAATAATTTATGTGATTTTTGGTGAATTTTGCATTGAAAATGGTTACTGTGATGATGAATGAATATCGATTATGTTTTCTTGAGTGATATGTCTCAGTTGTTTTGTAAAAGTATTGACCATGTGAACTTAACAATTCAAGAGATGAATTGATCAGTTAGAATTTTTATAAAAAAAAATTGTCCTCCAAAAATCTTTTAATTGTAAAATGTATAGTAGTAGAAAAGAGGAAGATAAATTTTCAAAATACTTTAAATATATATAT